TGAATAAAGAAAAAAAAAAAAACACATCATGGTCTAATCTTGATGTCCAAGCTTTAAAACAAAATAAGTAAAGTAACAATTATTCCTACAACCCCCAAAAGTTAACAGATTTTTGAAGCTAAAATAGGCATTTATGCAGAATATTGCACCTAAAATCTGCATTCTTGGCTAATGCGCATTTACACCCAGAGATGTGGCAGACTAAGATCTAAACATCTCGTGACAACCAGGATCACTGCAGCTCTTTCATTTAAAGACACATTAACGCCTTAAAAAGAATACGACTAAAATGTTTTTGTATCAGTAAAGCTTGATCAAATTAAGTGTTAGTGCAGCCCTCACTTATGGGGGGTGTGCTCCACCACTACACCCCTGATTTGGCATTCTGCGACCTGTTCATTATCTATGAGGGCTGATCTAGATGAAATGGGCTGATTACAATTCTTCAACCATTTATTGGTGCATTTCTAATTCACAAACCTGCTTTTATAGTTTTAATACACAAAACCAACAATAGAATTAATTTTACTTTGGCTAAAAATAAAAAAAAATCTGTTTTTAGGATGAGAACTGATGCCGTGCATGTTGTAGTGATTCAAGTTTCGACAACGAATAAAATTGTGATATTGTGTCGAACAATGCATCTTTGACACTCGATATTTCTGAAAGATTACCTTGATTTATAGATGACTGATACATTGGCCGGCCAATTTTATTATGGTTTTTTTTCCGTAACGGCCAATACGTGCATGCATTGGAGGATACCATTTGTGCATTCAGCGCCCCTGCCTTGTTTCCTCTCCAAGCCATTCGTTGTTAACGTCTTATATAATTTATCAATAAATGTTCCTTTTATGTTTGAGTTGAGATATGCGTTACATTTTTTATTGTAAATGGAAGGAGAAAGAGTAATACTGGCTTGAAGAATTGGCCTAAAAACATCTGCACCACCTAATAGGGATGATTAACCGATGTCAAAATAATCAGTTTACGGCCTTTAAAAAAAGAAAAACAAAGCTATATTTGCCAACCTTTATCTTGATGAAAGACCAAACACATAAAACCAGACTGGAAAAAAAAAGACATTAAAAATACTTTCATTTGAATTCATATTGGACAAATATAGGAACAAAAGACACACTTTAAACAGTAAATATCTGATTTTTTTTAATACCCACTTAGCTAGATTTAAGGCTGCTCAATAGGGTTGGACAACACAAATGTTTTTGTGAAACGCTAAGAGGTTCCCACAAAAAAAAGGACAAATATAAATGTCATAATTAAAAGTTGAGTTATTTATATTCTATTCAATAGAACATGTCCTCAACATAAACAAAGGGCTTTTTTTTTAAAAACATTGACCAAATCACAACATATGTTACACAAACAGAAATGGACCATTTCTGTTTGTGTCTCTTGGTTGGTAATAACGCACTTAGTGCAACCTTCCCTGAAAACTGGTTTATCCGCCGTTCTTAACATTTCAATTGATTAGGTTAAAACAGAACTATTACCTGTTAACCATTTCCGCTTACGACACGATCTTGGCTTACAGTTGTAGTTGAATTCCAGCAGAAGTAACCTTATTAGCCGAATAATCGTTTTTCATATATCTGCACAACAGAGATCCACTGACCTGATGCCATCCTAGCCCGTCACATGCTAAAAATACCTGTGTAGGAAAAACTACACACCTAAACTATATTTCTTTTTATCATTATCGATAGCGACAATATTAAATATACATAATGAATACATTTTACAGACTCAAGTTGGTTATGGCAAGATAAAAATTTAATTTTGCTCCAACAATCAAAAGGACATTAAACCCACAGATTTCTTGTTAAATCTTCTTTGGAAACAAAAACATTTTAAAGAGAATTTGGAAGTTTGTGGTGGCGACTTTCACCGCAGTCTCTTTCATCTTTTCCAAATTCAAATCAGCATACTTGAAAACAACACTAAGAACCTTTATCTGTTTGAATCTTAGCCTACACTAAATATTGAGACAAACTGTTAGGCATTACTTTAAGAGCGCTGAATTGAATGCTGTAGAACAGAGGTCTTCTTTCTAAGTTTTCCATGCCAAGGACCCCCAAACTGATAGCGAGATGGAGCGGGGACCCCCTAAATATATATACTGTATGAAATGGAGTTACATCAAACTGGTCCCATAGTAACTCCATGACAGATGGAGTAATGTAATGAAAGTAATTTCTCCCTAGGATTATCAAAGTATTTCTGATTCTGCGTTGATGGGACAGGCGTTGTGAATGTGCTTAGTTTGAAAGAGCTCCTGTGTGTCGCGGTGTGCATTGATGATTGAAAGACATCTTCTGCCTCTATGTATCTGTTTACTAATGTGTGTTTAATTCATGTTTATGTGTATTTAAAGACATTTCAATTAGTTGTCTAATGAAAAAAAAAATAATAACTCTAATCAACCAAACCTTTCGCAACCCCCATGCAGTACCCCAATGAACCCCCTAGGGGTTGCAGACCCCTTGTTAAAGACCTCCGCCGTAGAAGAGTACACACACGTACACGACTCAAACAAGGATGCACTGCTTTCAACAGTTTGTTTTGCTACTCAGTTGATTGGGATTTTTTTTTTCTTTCTATGGAATCTGCAGGACATGCATCCAATGTTTTGAGCAGATTCCATAACAGTTTCATCCCCACTGCCATTAGACTTCTGAATGTTTTGTAAAATGGGTTATTTTATTGTATTATATCATTTTATTTATATATATATATATAAACAACTCCATGTAACAAAAGTGATTTCTCCTTGGGATTATTAAAGTATTACTGATTTTGATTCTGCGTTGATGGGACAGGTGTTGTGAATAAAATTGTGCCCAGCTTGAAAGAGCTCCCGTGTGTTGCTGAATGTGTGCAATAATGACTGAAAGACATATTCTGCCTCCATTTATCAGGTTACTACAGTGTTTAATTCATGTTAATGTGTATTTAAAGACATTTCAAATATTGTTACTTTTTAGAAAAATATCTATCTTAACTGTTTTTCTGTATGAGGACAGGAAAGAAAGAAAAAACTGAGGGAACCAGATCTAAAAGAAAATGAACATGAAGATAGAAGGACAGAACCAAGAAAGGAAAGACAAAGAAGGAAAGCATTTAGGAAGGGATGACAAAGAAAGGGTGGAAACAGCAAGGCAACATAATATCAAATATTTCTCCAAACGAAGAAAATATGTGATTGGCATTTTCTAGGCTTAAACCAACACCTTTATAAGTTGATCTCTCTCGCGAGATTTGCCGCGCTGGTACGCTGTAGCTGCTTCTGTGCAGCTATTTGCAAAAGAGCAGTTCCACTTCCTAGTAGGTATCCCACACCACCTAGCGAGCAGATTCATTGTAGGCCACCCCAAACTATCACCTGTCAACAGTTCCAACTCTTAGACATTAAAAAAACCAAAGATATACAATCAAAAAGCGCGGAGACATTTGCAACCTGGTTGTTTTAATGCATTATAGTAGAGGCAGACTGGTGAAAGCACATGCACAAACTGTAAACAAAGGACCCTGACACCATCTTGGTGGAGGAGAGGGACATGGTTTCACAATGCGCAAAGACAGAGGGTGGTGGGGAGAGAGAAACCTAGCGCAACGTTAGGAAAACACACAAACGATTAAGAGTAAAGCGTTAATATGAAAATTGTTGCAAAGCTCTCGGTGTCGTTCCGCCATCTTGGATAGGCAACCAGCCATTAACGTCCCTTAAAAGGGTATCCATTCGATTCACTAAAGCAGGCGTCTACACTCGAGTAAAAATAAAAGTAATGCATTCAAGTAATAAATAGCCCAAAATAAAAATAAAACGCAAACCGAAGAGCTCCGAAAAAGGTTCACTTTATCCAAACAACGTCAACTCCTGTTGTTAAAGTATTCCCACAATGTTTAACAGCCAGAAAAAATATATAATATATCATTGGATATACATAAACGGTTAATTTGTTCACAATAAAGTAAAAAAAATGGTAGTAGTGGTGAAAAGCAGGACGACGCTGTGCACAACTGCACACAGATAAGCTGCTTGGAAGGGCGGTTGCCTCAAACTAACATATGCTAACGCTAACTAGCTAAGTAAAACCGTTGGGTACAGCTTGTTATTTAAGCTAGTTAGGGAGGATAAGATATACCCGCAGGTGCAGGGTCGCTCATCGGATGAGCAGTGGAGCTAACTGGCTAAATGAGGGGCTACGGCTAACTGGCCTTGGTCTCTGTAAAGACTGGCCCACTTGCATTCGGCCTAGCCTCCTAGAACCAGGGTAAATTTCCAAGCCCTGCAGTGTGCTTTGTATTTTTAAATGAACTGTGTGGATATGAACGCAGCTTGGTAATGCAATGCACTCAGTTAGATCAGCTACCTTCATCAACAGGGCCTTCGTTCTCGCGCCATCTTCATGAAGCTGCTGAAACCCAAACAGTGAGCTGCAAAAAGCAAGAAGACAACACAGTATCATTCGCGGGGCGGTTCGGGGATATTTTCAACACGCAATGGGGGAAAATGGGATTAATTTTGCGAATTTGAGCATAAATATAAGTGCGTGGAGTTGAAATTCCCGACCTGTCGATCCCGACTAGAGTCTCCCTCTCCTGGGCTGTCAGTGTCGGAAAGTCCTCCTCTGTTTCAGTCGCTTTTCCCGCCGCCATTTTCTTTTCCTCATTACCAGCAGAAGAAGCCGAGCCGAGACTCCGGGCAGCGGCGCAGGCGGCGGCGGCGAGGGAGACGCCGCAAGACTGCATGAGACGAAACGCTCTGCACCGCCGAATCAAAGGAAGGAAGCCGAAGATAACAAAACGATGAAAAACTTTTCCCCGGGATGATGAGATGCGATTCGGTGTAGTAAATCCTGTCGGGGGGGCACAAAAGCGCTCTCCGGGTATCTCCTCACATTTTTCATCACAAAGTCATGTTATCCTGTCGTTGGGATGTACGTAAGTCGGTGCAGCATCCGAGGTGGAAGGATTTCACCATAAAATACGTTTCGGCCGCGAAGATAAAGTTGTTATAATTGTGAAACCCAAGCGAACCCACGCGCTGCTCTGGCCACGCCCTCTCTTTCCATCTTAGCCAATAGCAGCGTCCGTTTCCTACCATATGACTCCTTTGGTATATCATTTTTTTTAATCTTTAAATGTAAATTTGTCCCTGAAAATGACAAATTATTGTACTAATAATAAGATATATTTAAGAAATTGTTAGAACTGTAAATAAACAGTCATATGTTTATATTACAATTTTCTTTATGTATTTATTACTGTTTTCAAGGCTGCACTTAAAAAAAATGAACTTGTCTAGAGCTGTTTTAAACGAAATGTATTTTTGTTTACACTCGTGTATACAAAATGACAAAATAAATCTGCCTAAGTCTCTAATATATAGATATTTAATTAAATTAGCTTAGTACTGGTTTAACCATCTGCCCTTTATATTCTATTGTCATAATAAACATTTCTTTATTATTATTTTCTGGTGTATTCATTTATTTGTTTTTTTTTTTTTTATATATATATATATAATTCATCATTATTGTTACACTAAAATTCTTCTGTAATCCAGAGTTTTTCTTTAATATAATAATTACATTTTCATCTCAAGAAACATTGATGATCTTATGTTGCAGTAATTGCATATATTTAGAATATGTGTTTATATAATTCATACCTTATTTGAATGCAGCTCATAATAATACTGAAGCGTTTTAAGTATCATAATCCATTATTATCATCGTGACTTTTATAACAAGACAAAAATTAAGAGCTATAGAAAAGCAAAAATTGTTAAACTTCATATTTTCTTCCCTTTATCATCATTATCGTCGTGGCTTTTTTTTTTTATTACACATATAGGTCCATATTAACAGCTATATAAACACAAAATGTATTTAAAAATTAACCAATAAGCTTAAAATCTTTTTTCTCCTTTTTATTTATATGTAAGCTATTTTAATAAATACTTTAATCTATATTTTTTTTTTACGTATTTTGGATATTTTGCTTCTGAAATGAGTAGGAACAAGATAATGTGCTCTTAACACCTATCACTATGAAAAGCGGCACTTTTATCTATACATCCTTTTATATTTCCCTAAAAAAAAATAGCAGCAAAATATTTATGAGACGAGAAACAATCTCTGTTCTTCATCAGGTTTTTTTTTAGATGAAGAAAAAAAAATGTATTTCCTAAACCGCTGAACCTAAATAAATTAAATGTTTTTTTTGTTTTTACCATGTGACGTGGCAAAACGTAGTGATGTGGGCGTGGCTTAAAATTGTCAACATCCTGGTGACATAACTGGTGACTCCAAAATGGCGACGGTGGACCAGAGGGAAGGTTAGCATTTGTTTTTTGTCATTTTTTGGAGAGAAAAATTTTTTTTTGCTGTTTTTATATAGTCATCTAAAATTATGTATTGTGAACATTTAAAAATACACTGTCTCACCGAAAGCCATTTAACACTAGCCAGCTAACGTTATTTAGCTATTTAACTCCCTGTTTAAACAGGTAGAAGCTAGCACCAGGGTTTGGAGGCTCGACTGATACATTTTCTTTCGCTCCCAGCAGGACAGGATGACCCAGACAGCGAAGACGAGGTGTATGAGGTGGTGGACCTCACAGAATATGCCCGGAGGCACCAGTGGTGGAGCCGGGTGTTCGGGAACAACTCCGGGCCGATTGCTGAGAAGTATTCTGTGGCTACCCAGATCATGATGGGAGGGGTGACAGGCTGGTAATGATGGGGGAGGGGGTCACACTAATATCGTTCACCCGTTTTTAAGTGTTAATTAACTGAAACAAACCAGTCTAAATATTTTAATACATACCTACATTCAGAGGCTTAGCCAGAATATTTTTATAAGGGTGGCCAGGCAATAACCAATGTACACTGAGGGGTGGCTGAAAGCAAATAGGCGCCAGAACCTCAGGGTCAATCTACACTGTTCCAACAGGAAAATGAACATGCAAAACATCCATATTTTCTAAATAAAGACAAACTATCCTTTCCTACAGCCTTTCCAAACAAACAGATGCATATATTTAAACATCAGTCTAAATAAAAAATATAGTGGATAAAATTCTTTCAGGTTTGAGTTCTGGGCAAACATATTTTCCATCGTCATTACTTACCTACTTTTTTTATTAAGTTTGTATTAAAATAGTTATCTATGATTTCACCGAAGACTCCTAGGTTGACTTACCGGTACAGAAACACATAATTTTCTCTTTACCCCATAAGACAAAAAGTCTAGCTCTGAAAAGAGCATTAATTTTGTATTTATCATCTTTAATGGTAGTGTATTGATCTGCATAATTAACCACAATGTTTTTGTTGTCAAGTAATTGTTTATATATATGAAGATTTTTAATATTCCACTTGAATATTCCACTATTGCTGCTGCCACCATCTGTATTAGAGGGGGGGCCATCTAGCTCCGCCCCTGCCTATATAGTGATTTCAATAGTACCCCTTCCCCCAGGGGTATTTGAGTTTAGTGTAATAGGTACATAAAATAGCTTGCAATTTCCCTTTATTCAGTTTCCATTCATGTCATACCCCTGAATAAAAAACAGTTTAACACGAGTTCTTAAACTATGCAGATGCCCTAAAACTCAGATGTATAAGTGAAGTTTTTTTTTTGTTTAATTGCATGAAAAGCACCCCAGGATCACGCCATGCATCAAGTATCCTCTGAGCATACCCTTGAGTAAAAGCTCTTGAATAAAAGTTTTTAGTCTAATTTGTAGACGAGGCATTTTTAAAATGAAAAAAAAGTATAATTTTTCTCTTTCATCGTAAAAGGAATCAAATATAAATTGTAACAATTACAAAAAAAGTGTCTCCAAATGTAAAGTTTATCAAACACTTGCAATATTTATTTCTTTATTTACACTTGCAAGGGGATGGGTTAAATACAGAAGTAAATTTCTCCAGTGTGAGATCCATAAAGTTCAATTATTATTATTATTTAGTGTTTTTTTTTTTTTTTTCATTTTTAAATTTGCTTGTCGGAGTAACATAGCTTTCTACTGAAGTTAGGAATGAATAACTCCACCTCGCTATACCTCGGTACTGGTAATTGGCTCAGGCCAAGTGGTGGCAGTGTCATGCTGTGGGAATGCTTCTCTACATTTGAGATTGGGAGTTTGTGGTTAAACAATATATGCTATTTTAAGTCCAGACAATAAAATTATAAAAAAACATTTTGTTCAATTAAGATTTTAAATAATGACATAATGCTGTTTATGGTTGTTTTTTTTATGTCTATACTGTTCAGAGCTTTATGACTTTGAGGCTGTGAAATAGCGCTTTAAAAAGGAAAACAAAAACAGAAAACTATGCTTAATCACACAGTAGGTAAATGCGCTCTAAATCCTTTTTTTATGGTAGCCTTAACAGTTGGAAAAAGATAGATTTCAAGACCCTCACCAAAGCATACCTACTTTATTTTGGTCTGCTCAAATTATTTCCAATTAAATTTGATGCAATCTTTGTCTAGTTTTAAGTTCTTCTACAAAGCCCAGTTCTTTAGCCTTAGCCTTTTGGAAACCAATCCACCCTGTCTGTCAACCCGTACAGGTGTGCCGGCTATGTTTTCCAAAGAGTCGGGAAAATTGCAGCTACTGCCATCGGTGGAGGATTTCTTCTTTTGCAGGTAAGCGCTTAGTAAAAAAAAAAAAAAGTTTACATTACCTTGAAAGAAACAGCTGCTGTATACTTATATACGGCCAGCTTTAATGAGGAGTGAAGAGGCCGACTGTACAGTATGCTGGTCCTCTCTTGACAGCAGAAAGGAAAGCTTTGTGTGAGCTTGCAATAGCTGGATACAAGCCATCTGGGTGCATATTTCTTTCATATCGGTCGATCATTTTGTTCGATGAAGCTTTTATGTAGATTAAAAGGGCTTCTCTTTTACCAACATGCCATGTGCTTCTTTTACTGTTTATGATCAGACACCCACATAAAAATGTTGCGTTGATCCATGATGTATTGCCAATCTGGCAATCAATCAATTAACCCATTCGTCAATATGCCAGTCCAACCAACATTTCATTTTTTAACCCATCAATCTGCCAACCGATCACATCAGTCCACTTTATTTAAACCCAGGGCTGTTCGGAATGATGAATATCAAAGTGAACAGAAGCATTGATACTAGATTATTCTTACAGATTGCCAATCACAGTGGTTACGTTCAGGTGGACTGGAAAAAGGTGGAGAAGGACGTAAACAAAGCAAAGAAGCACCTGAAGAAGAAAGCGAACAAAGCAGCCCCTGAAATACACACATTCATTGAGGAGGTAAAGGTACCTGGAATAAACCTTCTGCTATTCTTTATTTTTTTTTAAACTCCATCTTGTTGAGCTTTTGTTTTTTTGTTTGTCATGTCACATATTAGAATTGGAATATAATGTGTTTTATGGTTTCCAGTTCATTATTCCAGCTGAAACAAATCAGTGCCATCTAGTGTTATGTTACAACAGTTGCATTAAAGCCAAGAGATAAAAAAAAAAATGCAAAATTAGTCCTGATATAAGAAATCTCCTCTCCCCCACCCCTTTTATGCAGGCCACAGATTTCATTAAGAGGAACATCGTGCTGACCAGCGGATTCGTTGGCGGCTTCTTTTTGGGACTCGCCTCCTAAAGCTGCTGCTCCTGCTGTACCTCCCATCTACTGTGAATCTCATCACTACATCCCTCACCATCGTTTACCTCTTTACCCCACGTGTCTCCTGATTTATCTCATCATGAAGAGAGAGAAAGGAGTTTATGTTAAATGTGTTGTAAGCATGGCCTGTTGTAACAGTGGCTTTCATGCTTTTTTTTGCAAGGTAGGTTCTGAAATCCCCCGATTAAGGTACCGTTGTAAATATTTAGGTCAATTTACCTGAGAAATGTAAATATTTCATATAGGATTGAAGGATCAGGAATATGTTGCCAAACTCCGAAATAATCCTGAGATTTACCTTTTTTTATGTGTGATGAGTCTGGAACCCCAAACACTGTTTAGGAAGGTAAGTTTTCTTATGGAGAAGCGGTTGGCAACGGAGAGCATGATCAAAAAAAGGCTTTTTAATGACCAGATGATAGTGTCTAACTACAAAAAACTGTATTATGGAAAAGTCTGGTTATTTCAAAGCTTAATCAAGCAGCGGCTTTGACTCTGTGACGCCTATTGTAGTTGTCTCTGTGGTAATAACATAACTGCATTTATTTATAGGATTTAAACTCCGCAAAGTCTATGTTGCTTACATTTTTTTGCCTTTTTTTTTTTTACAAGTGCAATAAGCTGTTGTGTTATATCATTGTTGAGGTCACTAAATCTGATGCTTTTGTTGTTGCTCTTTGTTTATATTTAACTTTATTTTGATAATACTGCTTGCGTTTAATTTGTGGTCTTTTTTTCTTGAATAAATATGGCTGGATTTGTTTAAACTGAAAATTCCTCGTCTGCTTTTTTTTTTTTTTTAATGGGGGCTTTGCTTATAGATAAGAAAATAACTATAATAACTTTAAAGAAAATGCAATTTAAAGCCAAATAATTCTAGTCAGTTTGACGTCAGCCTAAATACACTTCTTTTTGGTTTTTGAAAAATTATAATTTCTGTTTTTTCTGATTAAACTGATTGTTGCTTAAAGGATTTCGATAGTTGAATTTTATTTAGGATTTTCTCTGAGCTATATAGGTTCAAAACTACGCTTGCAGTCTCATTTATAATGATTTTATTCAGTTATGTCAAACATCACCAACCTGATCAGTTATTGCATCTGCATAGCAAACACTGAAGTAACAGGTATGACATGGATGTTTTTTTCTAAATTGAATCACTTATTAAAACAGGCTGTTCTTAAATATTATAACTATAAAAAGTAGTAGTTCTGCATGATTGGATTGCAGAGGATAGAAACAAAGGCTTCCATCTCCAAGATGAAAGTCTGTTCAGCTAAAATGCTTTAAAACAACCTAAAGCTAAAGGGATGGAAGTCAGAAAGTCACATTTAAAAATAACAAAAACTCAGCCATTTGTCAGCTCCAGATCGACTGAGTTCCATTATCGGGGAGAAGTGAACAAGCTGAAGAGGATTCTTACAGACCGTTCTGTAGAGAAATTCAGAAACGTTTTCCAGATTGATCAAGGCAAGACTTTCCGTTCGGTCTGGATGCCTGATTGTACCAAAAAATCTACAAAAACAATCCAGTGTTTGGTGCATGGAGGCTCCATCACCAAGACATGGGACATTTCGTAGCGCTTTCTATCAACCTGTTACTCACACACTAAAAAAAACCTTAAAGTATTATGCTAAAAGATTTTAACTTAACAGAAATCAATTCTCATCTTGCTTTATATACTCTTCTTTAATAAGTAACAGACTATAGGACAAAAAAAAAATCCTTAAATTAATATATTTGAGAGCAAAACAATTAAGTATTTGAAAGTGGTGGGANATATATTTGAGAGCAAAACAATTAAGTATTTGAAAGTGGTGGGATGTTTCTGAGATCAATATGAGAATCAGACCTTATTGTTCGACTATTATGGAATCGGTGAAGCCAATGCTGCATCAACATAAGTACAGTTACTGTTGCAATCAATTATGTCTGTTCAGTGTTGGATAATGCACTGGAAAAATAAAAAGTCTTGAGTCATTTTTTTCTTAAAATAAGTCAATTTGTTCTTGATTTGAGGAGGTAAATGAGACACTTCCAATAGAACAAGACAATCTATTTAAAATAAGACTCCATTGTCTTATTTTAAAGCGCATGTTATCTAATTATCTTAAAGAGTAAAAACACTCATTCCATTTGCAAATTATCGTATATACATATGGTCTTAGAAATAATTTTAATGCCACCAACAGGTACCCGTCGACAGGCTGCAGCCATGTCTCGAATTCCTCGTTTTCCAGCCACTTTTGTTGAAATTTGCTTTTTTTCCCCCTCCATTCTCTAGCTTTTTCTCCAACTCAAGCTTCTTTTCTGAACATAAAGCTTTGCGATCAACCGGAAGCAGTTCCACGCAAATATATTGCGATATATGTCTGACGATATATGTCTTACAGAATGTCTGACGAAATTGTTTTTATAAACATTTTTTAATAAAGCATTTTAAATGCCTCAATAAGCATATTTAATTAATTTTAATGCCAATTAAGGCCTAAATTTAAAACATAATTTAATGACTTTTAATGACCCGCGGAAACCATGCAATACATCGGGTAAAAGTGGAAAAAAATTTAAAAAATGTCACCTTCCCGATTCATTCATCGTTGGATTGCCAACTTAAAGAGGGAGGATTTGCCGTTGAACTTCTAGCCAAAGAAAAACACGTCATATGTAGCCAACATTTCGAAGAAGCAGAATGTTTTCAAGAAGACTTGGATAATAGTAACACAGGATACAGCACTGGGACTTGATCAACAGCCGATACCGCACCGTGACGTCACAAACCGGTAGGTTGCAGTAGTGTTCTTTGACAAACATGGATCCCTCTGGTTCATTTATTGAAAAGTATGTAATAATTTATATTTTAAGTACTTTCAGAAGATTGGATTCCGAATATGACCGGACAAGTTAACTTATTTCTAGATTGTTGTGGGATCTGTTGCTCACATGGTGCATTAAACGTCATATTAATATGCAGTTTGAGAACATTGGCTCACTAACTTTAAATAACAAAGAAATGTGTTAAATTGACGTCTTGATTTTGCATGCATGAAAATACGGCTCCTGCAATCAGAACATATATCATTTTTTTATTGTACTTGAAAGGACTTGAGCCTCTCCTCATGGCAAACTGAAATAATCATGCAGAAAAGCCTTAATATGAACCAATTCTGCAACCAGGAATCTTCGGTTAATATTCGACCCAGGTTCTGAGTTCGAGCCCCACTCCCACAGACTGCCACTCTGAGCAAGACCCTTAACCCCACACTGCTCTCCAAGGGGATGGGTTAAATGCAGAGGTGAACTTCTCCAATGTGAGATAAATTATTATTAAATTGTTGTTTTATTTGAGCAACTTATGATCCANTAAAACTTAAAAACACAATTAGTAAATTATATTACATGTGTTCTTAAACACCTCTGACATTAATCCTGTATTTACCACTCATGCCATGACAACACTTAAAAAAAAATGGATTTCTGAATTAATCTTGAAAGTACAAGTGCCAAAGTGTAAGGTTTACCTACTGATACATTTCTGGAAAGATCAGAGTTAGTACTGAAGCTTCAAAACCTGCAGACTTTAACACGATACAAAGGATACGCAGATGGATGAAAGTATAAATGGTTAATATGATGGATGGATACACAAATAAAAGGCGGATTGGGCAAAGAAGATGCCCAAATTTAACAATGTACAAACAATGGCACAGGGGGTAAAATGCAAAGAAAAAAAAAATCTGTCTTTGATTTCATTTATATCTACAAAATACACAATCTAGAGTAAAAATCAGGATATTTACAACAAGGTGCGTATCTGCGGGAGCCGTGACAGCTTACAACACCGGAATGGTTCTTTCATCACGCTTCATAATAAGGAACAACATATATCTCTAAAGGAGCAGGTTAGAAATAAAATGACACTTAAAAATATCTTTGCCGTTAGTAATTTTCTAAATAAAAACTTCAAAAAAAACATTTTTAAAATAAGAATGTAGCGTCAGATGGGCAGTCTGAGGAGGGCCAACTCTGTGAGAAGCCTCAGGGTGCTGATTAAATATATGCTGGTGGAAACCTGCAATAAAAGAAGACAAACATTAGGCTTATGCGTTTAACAGGTTAAAGAACAAAATATAGAAACGTAGATCCTACAGAAAGGTTGCATGTAAAAGGCTGAAATATGACAATCGGGGTGGAGCTTCTCAACTTTATTAGGGTTGCAACTAACAACTAGATTACAAATTGATGAATCTGTCGTATTTCTTTGATTAATCGATTATTAATTGGATAGCAAAAGGTTCCTTAGGAGATATTTTACTAAATTAAACCAGATGTAATTAAAACTTTTAAACTTGAGGAGTTCTGGTTAGAGCACATTGACAGACAAAAACTTTTTTAAATGCAAAATGTTTATTTTTTTACAATTCTGATATAATTACTGCTCTAAATGGGTTGCTCTGACAGCTAAAGGTATATTTTACAGTCTCTATACTCCAGTTACAATTATTGGATTACTAAATTAGTTGATGATTATTTCAATAATGGATTAACCACGATTAATCTGATTGTTTCAACCCTAAATGTTATTATTTATTATTATTATCATTTTTTTTATTTAATTAATAAATAAATAATAACAAAAAAAATATTATCATTAATGACATTTTTATCAGGTGTCCCTAATGCTAAGGAATAATCCGTTACATTTTGGTGATGATCCTCATCATAATCAGGATTCTGTAAAAGATTTTCCAACATTGAGAAATAGGGAAATTTGTCAGAACAAGCAATTCCACACTAAACCACAAGGTGGCAGTAGTGACTAACTATTGACAGCATCAGACTCAAAAAGTCCGGAACTATTTTACTCAAGAAAAGGTTGTTCGTTTGTTAGCAGGATCAATTAAAAACATACCAACAGATTTTATGAAAACTTTTCACCGAAGGTTAGCCTCATGCCTGGAAACAAGTCATTTAAATTTGGTAATGTTTTAGCTACAGGTGGAAGCTACAATTTGGGGCAAAATATTCTACTTAGCAGAGGGCTGCGCTCGTTAAGTTCTTTTCTAGTTGGAAATAACTTATTTTCCAAGAAATGTTACAGTTAAAGTTATAGAGGACGATCTTTTATTTCCGGGTGGATCATCTAAATAAGTGGTCCTCCTAATTGTTGATCATTCTGGTGATATGTTTACGTAAATCTGCCCTACGCGCTCCTCCCCTGTTAGCTATCTTTTTCTACCTATGCGCATGTTCAGGAATATATCTGTGGTGAGCTATGGTTTTAGACAGTCACTGAAGCTCACCTTTCTCACCATGGTTCTTTGAAAATGGCCAAGTGTGTACAAAGCGTATAAGAAAAAATGAAAGCCCTCTGAAGAGGCAGATATATC